ACTCAAATGTGGTTCAGGCTTCTTTTTTAATATGCTAAAACTGTGGGTCAAGGAAACGCACACTTTTTTCTTAGCTGAACTAAGCTTGAATGCTTTGTCACCCTCTTTACAAGTTGCTTCAGTGAAAGTAAAACAGCAATAATAAGAGTGTCAATTTAAAGAGTACTTGTCGTGAGCCGGACGTGGACTTGAGGGCTTTAGGTACGTTCTCAGGTACCAGTTGTTTACGGAAGTGGGTGCCGTGACTGGGGCGATATGCTCTGGTGCATCCCTTATTCTAAGTACAATTCTACGTTGCATTTTTTTCTTCTAATGTGTAACAGGGCCCGTTGGGCATGAATTCCTTTCTGAGCTGGCCTCCCTCCTGATGAGCTGTGGTTCGCGTGTTTCCATCCTCCTCCTTTCCCATTCTTCCACCCCATAGCTGCCCTCTAGTCATCTTAGATCTACTTGTTTTTTGGTCTTGGGGAATTTTCTTTTCTTTTTTATGAGCTTAGCTATTTAAAAAATCAGTTTGCTGATTTTATCCATCATGAGTCGGCATTTTTTTTTTTTTTTTGGGAGTGGCATGGGTAGGGAGGAGGGTGGGAGTTCCCCTATTGTGAGAAATGCAATTTCTTTCTTTCTTTCTTTTTTTTTGGTGAGGAAGATTTGTCCTGGGCTAACATCTTTTGCCAACCTTCCTCTTCTTTTGCTTGAGGAAGATTAGCCCTGAGCTAACATCCATGCCAATCCTTCTCTATTTTGTATGTGGGATGCCACCACAGCATGGCTGATGAGTAGAGTAGGTCTGTGCCTGAGATCTGAACCTGCGAACCCCGGCTGCAGAAGTGGAGCATATGGAACTTTAACCACTCAGCCATGGGGCCGGCCCTAAATTTCTTTCTTTCTTTCTTTTTTTGGGGGTATGCTTTTTGGTGAGGAAGATTGGCCCTGAGCTAACATCCCTTGCCAATCTTCCTCTTTTTTTTTTCTTCTCCCCAAAGCCCCAGTACATTGTCGTATATCCTAGTTGTAAGTCATTCTGGTTCTTCTGTGTGAGATGACGCCAGAGCGTGGCTTGATGTGTGATCCTGTGTCCATTCCCAGGATCTGAACCGGTGAACCCTGGGGTGCCAAAGTGGAGCATGCAAACTTAATCACTCGGCCTTGGGGCCGGCCTCCTTGCAATTTCTTAATTAGTGAGAGAAGTTGATGACTAATCTGTTTCAACTGTGGTACACTGGCGCTGTGTTATTCTCTCTCTAATTTCCCACCACGCAAGACTTCACTACTTCTCTTGGAAGTATGGGGGCAGTCTTTGAAAACGGATTCCTTTGTAAAATTTTGGGAGGCCTTGTGACTGTTGAAGAGCTGAGAGTCTTTGTTTTATTGACCTTTTTCAAGAAAATCGTTTTTCTTGGTGTGCTCGGGGTAGCGTCCAGCCTTAGACGCTCCACTGTCCCCCTCTGTTCCCTGAAACACTCTTGAGGACCAGATTGTGAGTTCGTTCGACTCCCTGAGGACTTGGACCTGGTCCTCAGTGAATCTGTGCAGCTTTAATTTCACTTTTTCAAACTCTCCTGGCCGAAGCTGTTCATCTTTGCAGCTAGAGACCCGTCATCGTACTGGCTTGGCCCTGCTGGAATCTGTGTTAGATCGACTCTGCCGGCAAATCTCTGATCACCGTCGTATTAAATTAGATGCCTCCCTTTGCCGATCATTGATCGCTTTTTCCTTAATTTCCCAGTTTTCCCCATTTCAGTTGTTGCAGATGAAGTTGATCAAACGGTTTTGGGTAATCAAGAATGACGTTCCCTTTTCAGTATTATCAGTGCAGAGCCTGTAAGTTTAGGGGATGAGTGAGAACAACCAGCCTGGTGACCAGCTGGCATTTGGAAACGGACAGGGGGCTTGATAGAGACCTTCTCCTGATGAGGTAGCTTGAGATTTCAGGGTTTCCACAGAGGCCCTTTCAGAACCAGTGGCAAGTGGGAACCAAGATGCCAAATGAAGGTGTGACACACACCTGGTGTGTTAGTTTCCCGTGGCTGCTGTAATGAATTACTGTGAACTTGGTGACTTAAAACGACCGAAATTTATTCTCTCACAGTTCTGGAGGCCGGAAGTCCAAAATCAATTTCACTGGACCAAAACCAAGGTGTTGGCAGGGCCGTGCTCCCTCTGATGGCTCTGGGTGGGATCCATCCTTCGCCTCTTTTGGCTTCTGCTGGCTGTGGCATTCCTTGGTTTGTGGCCCATTGCTGCCCTCTCTGCCTCTTTCTTCACACGGCCTTCTCCTCTGTGTATTTGTGTGAAATCTCCCACTGCCTCTATTTTGTAAGGACCCTGGTGTTGACATTTAGAGCTCACCCAGATAATGCAGGTTACTCTCATCTCAAAATCCTTCACCTCTCCAGATATGGTCACATTCACACGTTCCAGGGGTTAGCACGCAAAGTCTTTGGGTGGCCGTTATGTAACTTACCGCAGGTGATTAAAGCACTGAATAAATTATCCTAATAATAATCGTGTGGTGTATTAAAAAAGGCAGATCGTATGACTGCTGGGCTTTTCAGCTGTTGTTTATTCGTGGCACGTGTGAGAATTTCATTGCCAAAGGATGTAATTTTTAAAACATGGCAACAGACTCAAGCAAAGACAGACTCTTCTTGTATTTTTCAGCATCCCTCTTTCTCCCATCCCCCACAAGGTGATGGACAGATATATGTATGCATATGTGTATCGTACATATGTGACACTATATATTATATATATATGTGTTTTTTGTGTGTCACGAATAAGTCCAGTTTTTAAAGCTTTTAGTGTAGCACTGCTGAACTAGTTGGGGCCAAACCACAGAGCGTAACTTTCACTTCTGCGGGTGGACAGCATTGGTCTCAGACTGACTTGGGAAAGGGCAGGCCCCCAGCTTGTCTGCTCCCATTGGCTATTTGTCTTCTCTTAGTCATATCTTTGGATCAAGGGTCTGAAAACCCCTGTTAAAAAGGGTGAAGGGGGTCAAAAAGTACAAACTTCCAGCTATAAGATAAGTAAGTCCTGGGGATGTTCCGTACAGCATGGTGACTAGAGGTAACCCTACTGTATCGTATATTTGCAAGTTGCTAAGACACAAGGTTCTCATCACACACACACAAGAATTTGTAACTGTGTGGTGTTGGATGTTAGCTAAACTTATTGTGATAATCATTGCACAATATATTCATATATCAAATCATTCTGTTACATACCTAAAACTAATACAATGTTACATGTCAATTATATCTTAAGGAAAAAATTAAAATTAAGCAAAGAGATTGTTCTTCAGAAAAGATAATAGATTAAGCTGTTTACAGCTATTTTTGCATCAATGGTAAAAATAAAAAAAAGGTTCAGTGATTTGCTCAGTTAGTAACCTATCAGCCACTTGTCGTTTATACATCCTGTGTGTGGTGAGGAAGGGCCTGGGCCTGCGTTAAGGGAGGACTGCTTTAAATGGTGTAGCACATGATAGGTGTGGTGGGACCCTGAGGAAGGAGCGTGAAAGGGACTCCCTAGAAGGGAGGTGGGACTTGTTATCATCTGAAGCTGGAGCGCTGGGCCAGGAGTGTGGACCTTGCCCTGTGGGCAGCAGGAGTCTCTGCGGAGCTTTAAGCAAGAAGTCAGAGTTCCTGACCCATTGATTTTGAGGCAGACAGTAGAGTGACTTTGAGGGGCCAGGATGAGCATTAGGGAAAAGAGGTAGGACAGTGATGTCACAGTCCAAGCTAGTGGTGGCTAGACTGTTTTTTTTTTTAATTGTGAACCTCTGTCAAGAAAATAACATTTGAGCCTCTCACTGCAAACATCTATCTATCTATCCATCCATCTATCACCTATCTATCGTTTATTGATTGATCTTTATCACACCTCTGTATTAATATATTGAGTGTGTTATGAAGTAGTTATAAAATATAGTTACAAAAGAAGGAAATAAATAGAAATGGAAGGTCCAGTGTTTTCCTCCAGCACCCAGGTGGCTCGATACCCTTGGATGAGAATGTCCCTTGGGTTGCCAAGTCTCACTTAGAGACAGCGCGTCTGGGCTCTAGGAGGCTAGGTCCTAAAAGCACCCGACTGGTGGCGTCACTAACGGAGAGGAAGGACGGTGAGAGAGGCACTTAGTAGAAGGAGTCGACGTGATGCGAATGGCTGGTCACATTAGGGAGAGGAGTGAAGACGTAAGAAAAGAAGAGGACAAAAACGGTGGTATGTCTTAGGTCCTGTTGAGTGGAGAGGTGACTGTCACCAAAGGAAAGGGGAGAGTTGGGAAGGGGTGTAGATCTATGTGGAAAAGACAATCTTCCCTTCCCCTCCACCCCTCCGTCCTTCCTTTTTTCTTCTTTCTCTCCCTTCCTCCCTTCCTCCCTGTGACACGTTGACTGTGGGGAAAATGACCCGGAAGGAGCATCCTGTGGGTATTTGAGATGCCACCCTGGAGCAACAACAGGTTGGGTCCTGATGTAGGGCCAAGAGTTAACCCTCATGGTAATTCCCCAAGGGAAAGAGGTCCACATTGGAGGCCAGAGGCGGCCTGGCCGAAGGATCTGGGGCAGGGCAGAGAAAGGGCAAGAGGAAGGATGGGGGTGCTGCATTGTCGGGCGTCACCTCCCCACCCCAGCTGCCTAACCACTGGCAGTTTCAGAAGTGGAGGCATGGGGGACCCAACCTGGAGACATGCCGGAGGAGAACTTGGCATTGCACCCTTGGGAGAACTAAGTTTGACATTGACCCTTCACTGAGCCTTCCAGTCGGCCATTCAAGTTTGCTTAAGTAAATTTCTTTCTCTTCCTTAATAATTCAATCTGTTGATCTTTCCTGATGTTACAGTCTCCTTTTTTTCCCTTGATGCTATTTTAGATAGGCTTTTTCTCCTCGTGCAGAGATGGAGCTGTATATTTTCCTAGGGTTCTTGTGAATAGTCAGGGGGTAAGCTTTGCCTGCAGTGTCTGACGACAGCTGTGTTCTTGGTGTCTCCTTAGGTGGCCATTAAAGTCATCGACAAGAAGAGAGCCAAAAAGGACACATACGTCACCAAAAACCTTCGGCGAGAGGGCCAGATCCAGCAGATGATCCGCCACCCCAACATCACCCAGCTGCTCGATATCTTAGAGACGGAAAACAGCTACTACCTGGTCATGGAGCTGTGTCCTGGGGGCAACCTGATGCACAAGATCTATGAGAAGAAGCGGCTGGAGGAGTCTGAAGCCCGCAGATACATCCGACAGCTGATCTCTGCGGTGGAGCACCTGCACCGGGCTGGGGTGGTCCACAGGTAAGGGCCGTGCCGTGCTGACGATCGCCGACTCTGTGCTGAACAGACTGCACAGTGCTTCAGTGCACTCCAGGCAAGGCTGAGGCGTTGCAGTGTGTTTTACAATTCTACGCTTTTGTTCCGTAGGAAGGTTTGTGAGTTGGGTTAATGCCAGTGTGGGCTTAAAAGAGTGGCGTCTAAAGCCAGAGGGCCTGGGTTCGCATCCTGGCTCTCTCCTTTCATAGTTGTGTGACCCTGGGAAAATTACTTAACCACTCTGAACCTCGGTCTCTTTTTCTTTAAAATGGGAATAATAATGATACTTACCTTGAGGTTAATGGAAGGCTAAACGAATTAGTATATGGAAAGAACTTGGACTAGTGTGTGGTATATAGCAAGGGCCGTGTGAGTGTTGATTGCACGTATTATTATTATTTGCAGAGTAATGAGACTGGTTGCTCAGGTGCCTGAAAGAAGCATCAATGTTAAGATGGCCTGAGATTGTCTGTCAGCTCGTGTGAGCGATGGTGCTTTCATTGCATCTGCTTTACCTTTGGTGGTTGTTCAGTAGCTGTTGAGTCTACTGGATGGGAGAAGCATTCGAATTGTGAACTTACCCTTGAAAGTGAGGGGTGTGCCCCATAAGCCAAGTCAACCTTGCGAATAATTATGAAAATCAATTTTTTCTTCCTAACAGCCTGCTCCCTCCTGAGGAGGATCTCTACAAGGAAGGGGGATGGAAATAGCATCCTTAGCAAGGTTGCCATCGGTGGTCGGGGCCTAATTTTAGTGCTATACTAAAATGAAATAAATACAATACAATACAATACAAGTGCCCTCTTTTCCTCCCAAGAAATTGTTGACTTCACCAATAAATGCATCCTTCTTCTTTCATGGAATTACAATCCATAATTATTCTGGGTTGTTGAGAAAATTTAGGGCTCGTGTTTAATTGATTCTCGTTTCAAAAAGCAAGATCAAAGCACAAAATATATGTGTGTATATATACAGATATATATATACACACATGTTAAACATTTTTTTCATTGAGATAAAATTGACGCATTTAAAATGTACAGTTCAGTTGCTTTAGTGTATTCACAGAGTTGTACAACTGTCAACACTATGTAATTTTAGAAGGTTTTCTTCGCCCCAAAAAAGAAACCCTGTACCCATTGGCAGTTGCTCCCCATTTCCCCCTCCACCAGCCCCTGGCAACCACTGATCTACTTTCTGTCTCCATGGATTTCCCTGTTCTGGACATTTCCTATAAATGGAAACAAACAACGTGTGACCTTTCACGATTAGCTTCTTTTACTTGGCGTAATGTTTTCCAGATTCATCCCTTTTGCAGTATCTCTCAGCCCCTTTTTCCTTTTTATGACTGAGTAATATTCCATTGTATGGACAGACCATATTTTGTTTATGCATTCATCCACTGATGGACATGTGGGTTGTTTCCACCTTTTGACCATTGTGAATAATGCTGCTGTGAACATCCATATATGGGTTATCCTGTGAATATATGTTTTTACTTCTCTTGGAGAATTCTGCTCTTAGAAGTGGAAGTGCTGAGTCACATGGCAACTCTATGTTTAACTTTCAGAGGAAACATATAGTTTTAAAAATTCAACTTCTAATGGTACTTTTATCTGTTTGAAAACCATCCATGGGCCCGCCTGGTGGCACAGTGGTTAAGTGCACACATTCTGCACACATTCTGCTTTGGCGGTCCAGGGTTCACTGGTTTGGATCCCGGGTACGGACGTGGCACCACTTGGCAAGCCATGCTGTGGTAGGCATCCCACACATAATGTAGAGGAAGATGGGCATGGATGTTAGCTCAGGGCCAGTCTTCCTCAGCAAAAAGAGGAGGATTGGCAAAAGTTAGCTCAGGGTTAATCTTCCTCAAAAAAAAAAAAAAGAAAGAAAGAAAAAGCAAACCACTCATGTTCTGATCAGTGAAGAAAGTGGCTCAGCCCTTAGTTAATAGAACTTGTGGATTTTCAAGGTGGAGAGGCTGTTTCTTTAGTGGCATTGGCATTGGAATGCTCCCCCCTGTCACGCCCAAGCCTCCCCAGATTCTCCAGGGCAGGTCCCCTCATTCAGGCTTCCTCAGAGCCAGCCGCAGCCAGGCACCATCCAGGCGGATCATTTACTGGCTGAGGGAGAGAACCTCTTCATGGACATATTTTTAGTCACACACGTTGTCGTGAACTCACGCTTCATTAGAACTCTTTGGGTTTCCATCAGTGAGGAAGAGAACATTCAGAAATTTTAAGTTAATAACACTATTTTTGGCTCTTTCCAACAATACCCTTGTGTAGTCTGCTGTGTCACAGCTCTGCCATTATTAGGAGAATGATGGCCGTAAGTGTGCCTGGTCCTGTCTTTGTTTGTTAAGATGACAGAGGCAGGGACCTCATGAATGAATCAGCTTGGGTTACCGGGTCCAGTGGTCACGGCAGAAAATAGAGCCGGGGGCAGAGCCTTCTGAGGGGCTTGAGGTGTTATGACGAGGGCTTCGTGGTGTCAAAAATCAGATGCACACCCAGCTTCGCAGGATTTCGAGGACAACAAAGGAAGTAGGAGTGAAGGCTGGGTCTCGTTCACTGGTCTCTCCCGCTGGAAATTCTCAACAACCCTTTTAAAGCAATTTTAACAAAATCCAATCCTTCTCAAAGCAATTACTGTCAGAATGTCAAAGGAATGCATTTAATGATGTTTTGATAGCTAAGACGGTGTGCTTTTTCTTTCTCTGATCTCCAGCGTTCTCCTTTTTCATCGCTTCTTGGAAATATATTCATAAGCCAAGAATGGCAAAGGCTCAGCTCTTTTAAAGTTAGGGAAGATTGGAAAGCTCGGTATGGGGTGGGGGGGTGGGTCTTCGTTTTTCTGTCTAGAAATCGTGTGAATGAGTGTCAGTGCATGCAGACAGGGGATTAAGACATCACTGAGAATGTTTGTAAGAATATGGGGCTTTAGCTCGTGTCTTGACTTTCGAAGATTCTAGACCACTCATTTTTAGCATCTGTGATCTGGTTCACTGCCGGTGTACTATTTACTGTAGCCCTTTTCCACAGTGGAGAATTAGGTTCCAAAGTGGAATAAATTTCTTAAATTATTCTGGGGTTAGGTTTTTCAAATGAATGGGAGAGTATAGCATTTCAGAGGTGCCCTGGAGTCCCTCGTGGGAAGATTTTTGAGCAAACAGATTAGATCATCCAAAAGGATTTAGGATGAATTTTGGTGGCTACAGCTAGAGATTTAGAGGACTTTTGGTTCCGTGTTAGAGGATGCTGTAAACGCGCAATTCCTGATTAGGCAGAAACTATAATGTTGTGTTGTTGTCGACTTAATGCTTGGCAGAGCTCTCATTTCCTGTGATATTAAATCTAAATATTTAATTATCTACTCAGAACTATTTAAATATCATTTAAAGGAAGCAAATCTTTAAAAATCATGTAAATATTACAAGTGGAAAGAAAAAAAGGAAACTAAACCTCTAGAAAAGATGCTCTTAGCTGGCAGAGAACTTCATTTAAAAATGGACCTGCCACAGCCTTTGCGTCTTTTGCTCCAACAGGCCATTGTGAAGTTTTGCAAAGGTGGACTGTGGCCTCACTTCATCACTCCGTGGTAGATTTGCCTGCGATCCTCCGCGTTTAAAGGCTAACAGGTTTTTCTTTTTCTCAAACGTGCTCACCCAGCAGCACGCCCACATCTGATGATTTGCCTATTGTCGATAGAGCATTGACTCCTAACGTCAACCATCAAGAATGCTGATTCTGCTGAGAGGCTCGTTGGAGATTCAGCTGTTCGTTCAAAATAACAATGTCCAATCAAACTATCCAGACAAAACGCAGCCCCATAACACAATACCGCCCTTGCTGCGCAGGAAGAGGCAAGCCAGGGGGGCCTGCAGGACTCAGGGAGAGAGACCCATGATCAAAGTTTGCACGAGTCTGTGCCTGGGCCTGTGTCCACATCACTCTCCCAGGGCCACGGCCTTGTTCATTCATCAGTATTGGGGAAGGGCCCTCGGCGCTTAGGAGGAATGAGGGGGAGAGAAGTGACCCTCCTTTGTTCTCGTGGGCCGACAAGAAGCAGGCACACCCTGTCCTAGGGTTGGGGGGGGGGGAGGTTGCGTATTAAGCAGTTCTTTGCACTTGTAGCATCTCTTGGAGAGGGGAGGGAGGGAATGGCCGATGAGAGGGAGAAACCGCTCACAGCCAGAGGCTGTTGGAGCTCCCAGGGGCTTCTTCTGAGAGCGGGCACATATCCGGGGGTGTTTTCATGTATATCAAGGTTTTCTGTTCAGTTGGGTTTAAAAAAATATGAGTGGAAATGTGAGATTTTACAACGCTCTAGCCCAATAACCATGTGGATCGGGATGCGCTGTGGTCAGTGAGGTTGATTCTAAAGCTGGACTGCCCACATCCACGTGCCAGCTCTGCCACGTAAGAGCCGCATCGGGTGGGTCCCTGAGGATTTTCTGCTTCTCTTGCCACATCCACACAATAGGGATAAGGGATTAGCCACTTCACAGGATTGTTGTGAGGATTAGACTAGCCCATTCACGTAAAGTGCTTAACCCTGAGACACTTTGTCAGTGCTGGGTCCATGTTTGCTGTAGTTATTACTGAGTCCACCTCATTTGTTTTCTACCTGCGAGGCTGAATTCTGTGTGCTTGGGGCCCCACTGCTGTTCTCCGCTGGCACTGCCGGTGCCTTCTTTGTCTGACTAAATCCTGCTCATCCTTCAGGTCCCAGCTCCAAACTCACCTCCTCCAGGAGGCCCTCCAGGCTAGCCCCTCTGGTCATAGACTCCCACAGCACCCTCTGCTTTGCCTTCCAGACACTCTTCATCTGATAACTTACTTGTTTGCTCTCTGTCTTCTGCACATGTCGCAACCTAGCCCAGCGGTCAGCCCCATGGACACACAGGACGACTGCTGAATAAATGAAGGGAGATTTGAATGAATACAGGAGTGTCAGAGTTAGCACTGGGATGGAAGCTT